TTACGAAGCATTACTCATTTTCGATGTTTAATGACTACTTTTTTATGACTAAATGTTGTGAATTTTTCATAATCGGGGATTAAGAAGTTAAAACATTATCTAATTGGAAGCTACATGTATAGACCTAATTTTCGCGATTGTGATCACCAGCATTTTTCAATTCATACCTACGTATGTCTATACGAGTACGGAGGACATACATCTTTACCTTTCATGGGAATTTAGTAGCTTAATAGAAAAAAGTCTATATACTTTATTCATTAACCGTTTCAGATTTTATATAAACAAACCATGGGGTCAGGGTAGATCAACGACCGCCCTTCCTTCAGCTACCGCTTGCTCTTAGTAACAATTAACTTTTTTTGTGTTAAATAAATACACCACACTTTCAACCAAGAATATCTATCAATGTATCTTATTGATTTTCCAAAAGCATTGAAAAATTAGTTTTTATACTTTCGTTTACAATATCACTGCGTGTTATACAATGTATTTCATACAAAAACATCTTAAAAAACATGTGGCGTTTTGATTTATAAACACCACGCGGAATATTAGCTGATCTGACTTTCACAATAATAACTTTGAGGATTACAAGTACTTATTAACGAATACATAATACTATTTCAGTTAATAATATCATTAAACATGTGTTTAGAAAAATTAGATTAGGCAGGTCGAATTGTGTGTCATTAGTGGCTGCGGCGTAGCCCGATTAATGTGTGGAATGGCACTCGTCCTGGAATGAATGGCGGTGGTATCTACGCCTTGGATACAGAAATGTGTTACACAAATAAATACAGGCTTCGAATTAGCCAGTTTTGCGGTCATCGCCGCTAATGGACGACTAGTGTATGAATAATTCGTAAACCCCAGTTCACCGGTTGTAGATGCCAATATTCGTTTCTCCGGCATCCGGCATCCGGCATAGTCAGTAAGAGTCTGACACTCCCTCCCACCTTACCCAGGCGGGAGAAGTCATAAGTTGATTTTCCCCTCTTAAAAAAATGCGTATACGTTGTTGTTGAAATTTAGTTTAGGGTGACTTCCTGACAACATAAGCTCGTTGTGTGTAGACCCATGCACGTACGGGAACTGCGAAGGGATGAGGGCTAAGGTAATTTAAATAATATTTTCTCTATAAACTAGGTACTTACTGGAGTATCCTATGGGTAAAAAGTGATATATTAATGGTACAAGATGTTTAATTAGATTTATTTATGTTATTAAATAACTAAACTTCATATAGAAATAGAATGGATTCAGACTTATGAGACGGCTTATTTTTCTGCCAAATAAGAGGTACTTCAAGGAAGAATTTTGGCATTGTATAATACAATACGTAGTTAGTTAAGTTTCCGTGACCCTGTGTTCTTCATTCCCGCTGTAACGGGGTTTTCTTTCTTAATCACGGCGATTGTCGCCACGGTTGGTGCGGTGGCGGGGCAACCGGCTGCCGCGCAATATGTCGCGGGTTCGGTTTCCGCACTCTTTGTGTGATCCACAAATTGTTGTTCCGGGTCAGTTTGTCATTTGTATGTATTTGAACTTGTATGTTTATAAACGCACCCACGACACTGAAGATAATCCTAGTTTAGTTTAGATAATTTCGTGTCTCCTTTTAAATATCTTAAAATTTTCCATAGTAGAGTAAAACGGCGTGAATAGAATTTGAGGGCTGAATAGATAGAGAAGAGAGGTGAATTGAAAGTGAAATTCTAACATCAATTCACCCTACTCCTATATTTATTCTCCCTTTGAATTCTATTCACGCCGTTTTACGGTACCACATTCTATATTTGCAAACATTTTAGTTACCAGGCTAACTATTGCCAGACCAACAGAAAAGTAAAAATAATACATTTTTCGTAAAACAAAAATTCTTCTAAACTTTCGTCGACGCCTTCAGTTTTCGAACTGTTATCAGCCACTTGAGACGGGTAAATGGTCTGCTGAGTTATCGTAACCCTTAATAAAATTTGTACCAAACAATCTAAGGATTTTCTAAAAGATTTCTTTACATCATCGTCTGTTCCGACAGCCACTTGCAAACCGCCAAACTATTATAGATCTGGTTAATAAATATTACAGTAAGGAACATTGGTAGATACTGTTGGTTGACAGTGTGGTGTATTTGTTACAATAACCATGCATTTCGTCTTGAAACTGCGTGTATATACAATGTAGGTACTACATTTCAAACAATTTTTTTTTAAACATGTGGTGTTTTCTACATCTACTAACACTCTACACTAACAGTATAAAGATTTATCTTTATTTTTAAATTTTTTGTCTATAAACTATAAACTCCTAAAATTAAAATTAAAACGTACGCCCACATAGGTCTCAGAAGCCTGATTTCGCTAACATTTTGTGTTATATTACACCCAAAGTAACATAAAGTCATTCCCTAAAATAACATAAATTGTAGCCTATATGTTATTCTGATGTATGACCTACGTTACTGTGAAGTGTCATGTAAATCTAATCAGTAAGTTTTGCTTCAACCAGTAACAAACACACACACACACATATCCTCACAAACTTTCGCATTTATAATATTATTAGTAGGATAGTAAAGTATATCTTAGAGAACATCTGTGGGGTAGATTTATTTCCAAAATATAACGGAAACAGGAAATCTACCTACGTCTAAATCCCAGGTCTCTTCGTCTTAGAACCCACTATACTAATTTGACTAAAAATCCTTACAGCGAGCCCCAAGAAAGGGTTAAGGCAAGTTTTATCCCAGAAACGTCATGGACACGGGAACTACGAGTTGAAACTTCTGAACACTATAGTATCTTTTAAACTACCTACAGAACCTCATCAACAACCTATAAGGGCCCACTGCTGAGCAAAGCCTCTTCTCACATGGAGAAGGTTAGAGCATTAATCACCACGCTTGCTCAATGCGGATTGGCGATTTCAAACTTATAATTAGAACTTATAAGTCCAGGTTTCCTCACGATGTTTTTCCTTCACCGTTTATCAGTGGTGTCTAAATAATCTTAGAAAGTACATATAACTCGGAAAAAGTCACATTGGTATTTGCCGTTGGTAGGTTTCGAACCCACACCCTCCTGCATGAGAAGAGGGCGTCTTAAACCTCCGGGCCACCACGACCTACAGAACCTATTTGACTGAAATTTTGTACAAAGGTAGTTTGAGACCTGAAAAAGAACCTAAACAGATTTTATTTTACAGATTTTAGTTTGAGACTTCAGAAAGGGCATATTATAGTTTTTATTCCGAAAATTTCACAGGAACAGGAACTGTACGAGTAGAACTTCTAGACTGCGTGTCAGATAAATCTCGACGTAGATTAGGATGAAACATATAACAACTTAGTTATTTTGTGCATAAAACAAAACAAAGTTTTTTGTAATAAAATAACACGTTTATTGCTGTTACTGTGTCCAAGGCGTAGATACCACCGCCATTCATTCCAGGACGAGTGCCATTCCACACATGAAATCGGGCTACGCCGCAACCATTAGAACCCACTAATGACACGCTGTAAGCAAATTACAGTGGATTTCAAGACGAAGAAACCTGGGATTTAGACGTAGATTTCCTGTTTCCGTTGTATTTTGGAAATAAAACTACCCACTATGTTCTCTAAGATACTTATTCTTAAAATATATCCTACTATCCTACTAATAATATTATAAATGCGAAAGTTTGTGAGGATGTATGTCTCTGTGTGTGTGTGTGTGTGTGTGTGTTTGTTACTGGTTGAAAATTTTACATGAAACTTTTAGGAGAAGGATAAAACAAAACAAAGTTTTTGTAATAAAATATCACGTTTATTGCTGTTACTACAATTCGAAGGCACATACTGTTACAGTAGGTACGCGCAGATTCGTCAACGTGACGAATTTGTCACTTACAAAAGTCCGTTCACACAATATAATTAGTCAATTCCATAGAACAGTCGTTTTACATTTAACACAGTATCAAATACCACTAATTAGCGGATCGTACGGCTGCAGTATGGTGCTGGCGCGGCTTGCTCGTTCTTCGTATAATTTCATTAGCACTAAGTCTAGCGCCGCTCGTGCGTCTTCTACAGGAGAGTGACCGGCGCTTCCGCACTGGATCATGCGGCCCAGCACCTCCTCGGAGAGAGCCCGCAATGATCTTCGCATGGGAAAACTCCGAGGATGAGGATACATAGCACACGTATCCACCACTGCGCTATGTAAAAGTTTTAGTGCACGCAGGTCATTTTCGAGGGCATGACCAATGAGGATTGTGTCAGTACCCACGAATTCAAGAATATCATCTTGAACGTCTCTCAACGTCTTAGTCGCGAGCGCCAAGTCGCGCGGCCTGATGCCGGAGAAACGAGTATTGGCATCCACTACCGGTGAACTCGGTTTTACGAATTCTTGGTACACTAGTTGTCCATCAGCGGCGATGACCGCAACACTGGCTAATTCCAAACCTGCACTTGTGTAACACATTTCTGTGTCCAAGGCGTAGACGCCACCGCGACGCGAACGGGCTCGTACGTATCCTTCGAGGGGCCCATTCATTCCAGGACGAGTGCCACTCCACACATGAAATCGGGCTACGGTGCAGCCTTTAGAACCCACTAATGACTTGCAACACGAGTAACGACTCTCACTCACACGTCCCCAATGGTAAACACAAGTATCAAATTTCGTATACTCTCCATTGACGGTCATTTCAAACTGTCTATCACATCTCACACATGTATGTTGTACGGTGTCGACTTCTTCGTCACTGTCGGATCGCGGAGACGAATCCCATGACCCACGACCGCTGTCACCTTGTGAACCGGGTACAAACTCCGGAGCGTTGACATTCCAATGGGTCGGCAGAGGTCTAGGTCGAGGCGGCGGATTAATATACACTACTGCCTTCGAAGAATTTGGCTCCAGTTCCACCGGATAGCCAAGAGACCACATCCTTTCTGGAGACAATATGTGATGCTTAAGTGCTTCCTTCAAGTCTTCATTGGCGATACTCGTCGGCGTCGGCGGCACGTAAAAGCAGCAACGTTGCAAGTTTATGCAGAAATTATGCATGTTTGATTGTTTATCGCGATTATTTAAAAAAATAAATCAAGACAGAGCGCCTGGTCGGAGCAGACGAAAGTGCTATCGCGAGCGCGGCCGCTGTACTACTAATGCGACGCGATGGTGGGCCACCCTACGCCTTCTACGATATGTACGTGCAGGTAGCGATCGTTTGTTAGCGGGACACAAAATTCGACGTATTTTGTAAATTTCCCACGCCTTTTCTTTACACCGAACACCTAATAATCCGCGTGGTGTTTATAAATGGCAATTTTTGGCTTCATTATTTCGTCATTTCCAATGCTGTGTAACAAATCTTATCAGAATCGACTCAGTCGTAGTTTTTTTTATTTTTTATTTGAAAACTCAACAGCTTATAAATATATATACATGAGTTGGGAATACATATCACACCCTCAATGCACAGCCTTATGCAGTTTCATGAAAGAATATATACTAGCTTGGAAATGTGACGTCGACACACGCTGCACACAGTGATAACGAGATGATGACAATTATCACTTAAGCCAATTACAGAGTTTCATGACATTTGTAAGACTAGTTAAACCAGAAAGTAATGTAAGCGAAGATTAAAAAGTAACATAACACAATACAATAATAAGATGCATTATCACATCAGTTACAAAAACACAAAATATTATTATGTTGACAACCCTAGTAAATATGACCAAAATTACATCACATCCAATAATTCAATGCGCCTAGACTATTGAAATATTTGTGAGTAACTATAATTATTTACTGAGTGTTGAACTGGCACATGGTACAATCTGCTTATCAAACAGAATCTGCTTTACTTGTTTACGGTATATGACCGTTTGGACATATGAAATATATCAACATTTTCAAAAAATTCTAAGTATACGCGAGGCAGTCGGGTCATCACAGCGTTTCTCCCGTATTTTGTTTTGTGCGGCAGCCAGGGATACTGAGCAAATTCGTACGTCTGGTACGCGTTTTAGGGGTGCAGAAACGTATACATGATAGCAGATCACCGCTGTCCAAGTGACCTCGGAGGATATTAAAGAGAAAAAGCATATCCAACGACTTACGTCTATCCATAAGGGGAAGTATATCGTAATGTTTACAGTCCAGGGCATAAAAATCATGACGTAGATAGACTTTTTGTAGATTTTCTATCCTTTTAACCAGATTCGGCTACAGTACTCCAAAATACTACGGACATAAGCATAGTATAAAATCTTTAGAGTATGACAAATTCTAAATGGCTTACTAATACGTACTACGAAACCAAGGTTGCGGTTTTTTTTTTTTTAAGGGGGGAAAATCATCGAATGACTGCTCCCGCCTGGGTGAGGCGGAAGGGAGTGTCAGACTCTTACTGACTAAAAACCACCCCGTTCCTTCTCCTGCACGTCGAGCCGGAGCCCCGGTTACCCGTTAGGTTCTCCGCGACTCCGAATCGGCATCGGCCCTATTGGGCCCCATCTGTGGTGGTCTGATGGCTCTTTGAGGCGCGCGCGGAACGCGACGCGCCGTACGCTCGGGTCTGTTTCTGGTCGGACGGGGAGCCACCCATGCTCGCCGTCCGCAGGCCCGCGCTTACGGTGGCCGGAGATCGTCCCGCGATCCCCGACGCCCGGTGTGTCCTTCGCGATGGCTGGGTTGCGAGGAGGCAGCGCTTCGCTGCCTCACGCGTCCCGCCTCCTCCTTAGCCAGCATGACTGCTTCGCAAAAGGAGGAGACGGCATCCCAGCCCCCTCGCTCCGCATCATGGCCTGAACTAGGCCCGGACGAGAGAGGTCTCCATCGCCGATCACTTCCCTGAGGGCACGGCGGTGCTCAGCCCACGCAGGGCATTCCGCAACAGTGTGTTCCACCGTGTCCTCAGGGTGGGCCAAGGTTGCGGTACGCTCTGTTGGTGATGGTGTCAGTATGTTGGTCAAAAAGCAACTTAGAATTAAGCATTTTACTAAGATCCTGACTACATTGACCCTTTCGATCACATTATGATTGCATCTATACGAATACCTTATTAGGAATTTGGAATAATATAATATATTTGGAACATACAAAAAGTCCATGAAAACTTCTTCAAATGGCATATTTAGTGTCTGAGTAAATTGTATCTGAGGCTCTATTGGTTTCCTATCATATTTCATTTGCCTACACTGTTCGCATGCATTGATGACGGCGGCTATTGTGTCTTTCATTATGAGACCACCATGAATAATGCCTTTTAAGTTTGTTGTGTTGTGAACTGTTTTGCCCTCACGGTATTTCATAATAATTTCTCTTTGTTCTTCTTCATTAGTTACATTGACTACTCTCTCTGTACATTCGATTAGGTTTTGAGAACCTTTCTTATACGATGCTTTAACTACTTTTCTAAAAGACTCTGTTTCAAAGTAAATAAAATGTTTCTGCTCAAATCCATATATACTCTTTTAAAAATGCCTTTACAAAGCGTTCATTATTAACGGCTGACATGTGCATTTCAAATATGTTTTTGATTGCTATTAGATATATCTTTTACATGTATACAATTTTAAATCGATTGAAGACTAGTATTTGTTTGGATTTGGAGTATACTGCTTCATTTAAAATTGGTGTTCCTTCGTGTTCTCTGTCAGATATGGCATGAGCAGTAGCTCCATCATCTGAATTAGGTACATCTTTGACGTAGGGACCTGTTTTTTTATGTATTTTGTTAATTTATTTAAGTTTATCTGATTTTGAGTCTGACAAGCTAATTACCTCTTCTACTTCATTATTATTTTTTATATTCCTTACAGATTCATTATTATCTACGTTTACTAACGTCGACTCATTATCATCATTATCTAATGTGTTAACTTTTATTTCTCTATTTTTCTTACCATTTAGACCAAGTATAATATTATTATTGTCCACGCTTAATGCATTAAATTTTATTCGCGATAACGCATCTGCGTTTGAATTCTGCGAACCTTTTTTATGATTGATCTCGAAATCATATTCTTCTAATCTAAGTAAGTATGGTCTGAAATACTTAACTGCCCAGATTACTGCTAAAAGCTATTATATTAATTAAGTATTTGTTGTATACGGTGACAAAAACCTAAAGAACTTTCGCTTCTATTTATTTTTAGACTTTCTAACGCTAATGCTAGACAATCTTCTGTTCTTGGATTCCCAAAAATCTGTTTTGGTACTGCCCAGGAGTGTATTGTATCTCGTTCACCAATTAAATTCGCGGCTTCTCCGCTTAGTCTACCTACTAGTTATCGCGTAGAACAGATATTAATTCTGTATTTCATTGCCGCGATATAAATAAATGATATATTCAGTTTTACGAATGAATAAAGCCAATAACCTTGTCTCTCCACTAATTACAGGAATGATCTTTAATACTCCGGGAGGTATAACTATGATTCCTTCCAGTTTTATCTAGTCGTACAACTAAAAATATCCTAACAAACTAACTACATAATTATAACTATTTACTAAACGTGAAAATGATATCAATGTTATGCGTTACATACCAGAAGGGCTTTTTCTAATCCCTTTATGATACACGAGACACACACACAATTATCACAGGGAAATTCAAAGAAAAATAGACAAGATAGTGAAAAGATCTACTTACTCACATGACCCGCTGCTTTTCGCTCGTCCCGTTATTGATGATTTCATAATATCTACGACTGACTCGATTCTGATAAGATTTGTTACACAGCATTGGAAAGGACGAAATAATGAAGCCAAAAATTGCCAGAAGTCATTATTATACGCGGACGAAGTCGCTGGGAACGGGTAGATATCTATAAATACCACGCGGATTATTAGCTGATCTGTGTAAACAAAAGGCGTGGGACTTTTACATTGATAATTAGAGGTTTAGAAGCACTTAACAAAATATCTTCACTTAATTGTTACCTTTCAATTGACAAAAGACCATTTCAGTTAACAATAACATTAAAGGTTTCATTGTTTAGAAAAACGATAATGGGTATGTGTGACTGTGTGTCCCGCTAACAAACGAGTGCTACCTGCACCGTATAAGGCGTAAGCTGGCCCACCATCGCGTCGCATTAGTACAGCGGCCGCGCTTACGATAGCACTTTCGTCTGCTCCGCCCACGCGCTCTATCTTGATTTAATTTTTTAAATAATCGCGATAAACAACCAAACATGCAGAATTTCTACCTACACGTGCAACACTGCTGCTTTTACGTGCCGCCGACGCCGACGAGTATCGCCAATGAAGAATTGAAGGAAGCACTGCAGCATCACATATTGTCTCCAGAAAGGATGTGGTCTCTTGGCTATCCGGTGGAACTGGAGCCAAACTCTTCGAAGGCAGTAGTGTATATTAATCCGCCGCCTCGACCTAGACCTCTGCCTACCCATTGGAATGTCAACGCTCCGGAGTTTGTACCCGGTTCACAAGGTGACAGCGGTCGTGGGTCATGGGATTCGTCTCCACGATCCGACAGTGACGAAGAAGTCGACACCGTACAACATACATGTGTGAGATGTGATAGACAGTTTGAAATGACCGTCAATGGAGAATATACGAAATTTGATACTTGTGTTTACCATTGGGGACGTGTGAGTGAGAGTCGTTACTCGTGTTGCAAGTCATTAGTGGGTTCTAAAGGCTGCACCGTAGCCCGATTTCATGTGTGGAGTGGCACTCGTCCTGGAATGAATGGGCCCCTCGAAGGATACGTACGAGCCCGTTCGCGTCGCGGTGGCGTCTACGCCTTGGACACAGAAATGTGTTACACAAGTGCAGGTTTGGAATTAGCCAGTGTTGCGGTCATCGCCGCTGATGGACAACTAGTGTACCAAGAATTCGTAAAACCGAGTTCACCGGTAGTGGATGCCAATACTCGTTTCTCCGGCATCAGGCCGCGCGACTTGGCGCTCGCGACTAAGACGTTGAGAGACGTTCAAGATGATATTCTTGAATTCGTGGGTACTGACACAATCCTCATTGGTCATGCCCTCGAAAATGACCTGCGTGCACTAAAACTTTTACATAGCGCAGTGGTGGAT